TCTGTGCTGAGCCGAGCTCCGAGGCCGCCATCCGTTCCTGGAGGTGGCAGCTGTGAGAGGGGGCTACACCTGGGAGCTGGTCTCGGACAAGGACACACACTTCATGTCGAGCGCCTTCTGGGAGTACCAGCAGAGCGTGTGGACTCGTCACATTCACGTGACGCCGCACCATCCTGCTGGGTCAGGCGCAGGGTGGCGGGCTAATCAGACCTGTGGGCACCGGACCAGAGTAAAGAGAAACGCGTCAAGATCTTCAGAATTTCCTGCAGCAGTAATGGAGCACGCCACGCACAACCACCGGTGTCAACCCGCCTGAGCTGCTGCACGGTAGACGGCCGAGGGTCAGGTTGTATCCGGCGGATGCGGTAGCCACCTCACCGCGACACCAAAAAAACGGCAAGAGGTCCGCAGGCACGTGGTGAGAATTCGGGAGTGCCAGGAGCGGTGCGCCTCACTGAAGAAGCGAAGACACCGGTTATCCAACCCCGTGTGGATCATCGCTCGTGAATGCATGGCAAGTTACGAACTGGACGGCTGCACCAAGGCACACGCTGAGCGTCTCACCCGCTGGACGGCTGCACCAAGGCACACGCTGAGCGTCTCACCCGCTGGACGGCTGCACCGAGGCACACGCTGAGCGTCTCACCCGCTGGACGGCTGCACCAAGGCACACGCTGAGCGTCTCACCCGCTGGACGGCTGCACCAAGGCACACGCTGAGCGTCTCACCCGCTGGACGGCTGCACCGAGGCACACGCTGAGCGTCTCACCCGCTGGACGGCTGCACCGAGGCACACGCTGAGCGTCTCACCCGCTGGACGGCTGCACCGAGGCACACGCTGAGCGTCTCACCCGCTGGACGGCTGCACCAAGGCACACGCTGAGCGTCCCACCCGCTGGACGGCTGCACCGGTTCGTCGCTAGCCGACTGGACAGCCGGCTGAGCTTTCCGCGGAGCTGGGAGCACCGGCGGCGTTGGTCCCGGCCTACCGCCCTGCGCCAGGGACGGGGTGGTCCCGCCCGACCGCCCTGCGTCAGGGACGGGGTGGTCCCGCCTGGTCGCCCTGCGTCAGGGACGGGGTGGTCCCGCCGGACCGCCCTGCGTCAGGGACGGGGTGGTCCCGCCTGGTCGCCCTGCGTCAGGGACGGGGTGGTCCCGCCGGACGGTCGCCCTGCGCCGAAAGCGGCGCAGGGCGACCGTCCAGCGGCGCTTTCGTCCCGTTGTGATGCACCGGCGACAGTGGCTATCGTTTAGTGGTGCTGCACCGGCGGCACGTAGAGGTCTCTCCGGATCGTGCCCCTTCGACTTCGTCGGTGCGGGATCCGGAGGTGGCGAGAGAAGCTCGGCAGGAGCCGTGACTGAAGGAGTGACCTCGGGAGCTGAGCTGAGGACCTGGCCGCACCGGTCGGGGCTGACTGCGAGCTGGAGCAGCCAGGCAGCGGTGCCGGTGACGGCGGCACTCGAGGCGCCCTGTGGCGACGCTTGAGGCCCGTACGTGAGCACTGCAGGTTTGCTACCTAGCGGATGCCTGTAGTACTACAAGTTGTGGGTGGTTGACGTTCGCAAGCGAGGGCGGTCGCGACAGTCGTCGTTAGATTGTTGGCGTGTGTGGCTGGGCTCTGTGTGCAGAGGTTGTGGGCTGTGTGCTCGAGAAACATAATAAACTTTTCATTGTGAATGTTTTCACTTGCAATGTAAGCTAGTTTGCTTTAATGGCACATTAGAAAGCGGCAAGCTCCGAAAACGGACATCCTGAGCATCACTATGATGCCCATTTTGTTGTTTATCCTACGCAATCAGATAGATGCCAGGGTGCCGTGCTCCGTGTGGCGTTGAACTTGAACCTTCAGAGATTTTATTTCCTAAATGTGATAAAAGCAGACATTACGAGCATCACTTTGACACCTTTTTGTCATATTCTTTTGGCAAAGGAATAGATACCAGGTTACCGCTTTTGTGTGATCTTTACTTTTGCCTCGGAAAAGTAAATTTTGTAGGTGTACCAAAAGAGAACATCGGGGGCATCAAGGTGGCAACCCTTTTGTTTTTCTTCTCCTTTATTTTTCAATCACTTCATTCAGCTGACTTCTGCATGAGCAAAGAAATGCCAGGAAATCTCATTTTATGTGACTTTGATCTTCAACAGACGAATGTGGACATCACTGGACATCACAAGTTAATACCCATGGTGTTATATTTCTTAGACAAACAATAGAATACGAATGTATTTAGGTTTTGACCATTTCTGTAGTTTTAGAGGTCAACTACATGACTTTGAGAGAAGAGGACTGCAGAGTCGTGAGTAGCTCAATGGGTCTGACTTGCTCAGAAGGCTGTTGGGAATTGTTGAGAGCTTGAAACTGAGTTTGAATGCAAATGCAACTCTAACTTGACGGGCATAAATCGTTGGCCGCTGCAAGTAAAATTGTTGTAAATAAACGCAAGTAAAATCAGCTAGCGGGCACCGTGCGCGCGAGATGGGCCGTCGTGAAATAATGAACTCCAATGCCTTTCAAAACTAGTTCGTAGGCTAAAAGATTAGACTACACGTATCTCTTTTACAGTCGCAAGGTTGTGCTTTGGACAGATTAACAGCTACGGCAACACGAAAAGTAAGTATTCCACTTTCACTCTTCCAGTTCCACCAACAGGTTACAGCACCACTTTGCGGTGCTGTAAAGGCCAATCTGTTCTCGTCATCAATACAAAATTGGACCCGTCAGTTATCCGCCCGGACTAGTTTCTAAATGTGCGATGTGATTTTCTAACGCGTACCAAGGTATTTATTTCAGATGCGTCATTAATTTCATCTGCCATTTTTCTTTTTTCTCGTATTTTCGGTCATACCTCAGTGTTAGCCGCGGGGCCGACGTCGCACAGCCTGAGGAGACTGCAATACCTGTCATCGGGTTTGTGTTGAGGTTTGCGAGTGCGCACGTTCAAAACTGCCTTGCATAACTTGTGTCACTGATCGATTCTGGCTGACTGCCATTTCCGAACAGGCATGGCTTGGTCATATGAATATAAACCGTTAGCCCATTTCTACACACAATCCCCATTCGTGGAATCCTTGAGATCTCTGAAGAATCCAAATCAAAATACTGGCAAAGCTCGTGAGTCCGATCGGGTTAGAGTCGCTTCAGAGTCGGCTTAGAGTCCATTGTACCATGGTTAAATGAAAAGTTACGGTGATGGATTGCATGCAGTTCTTTCATGCTTGATTTAAGTTTGTCGAATTTTAAATTCGGGCAGAAGTGGTTTCGGGGTAGCTTCTGGCTTTTGTTTTACTTACAGAGAGAAAACCAGAAAAAAGTCCGGAGCTTTTGGGGGCTTTCACTTTTAGGGGCCGTTTGTGATCCATGTGTCCTCATCTTGCTAAGGCTCTGCCTGTGCCTCTGCAAATACGTTTAGTGTGGAGTTTTTCCCTTTTACTTGCTTCATCAGAGCGCGCGTTCGCGCTCGACAGCCTTGGATCTCTGAGACTGCGAAGGACGTGTCCCCCCCCCCCCTCCCCCGCTGTCGCCGCCCACGGCAGCTTCTAGTGCTGGACCCGCGTGGCGCACTGAGGCCGTGGGTGTGAGGATGTGGAACGGTCGTCATGGCGGCGGTAACGGCGAAGATATGACACCCTTCCATCAGACAAACGCACGCTTGCAACTCGACTATAGCAGGGTGATGTTACTGGTGATCTACTACACCAGCCTTTGGCAGTGTACAGTCACAAAGGTATCTTTGTCGCCATGAAAATGCATACCATGTAGTGATGCGTATATTTTGGAACCAAACTGTCCATAAAACGTTACGTGAACTATCTCATTGAAGACTCAACTGAGAAACGTTCGTCATAGCTTATCTAGTTTATGTATTTGTTAAAGATGTACAGAATGTCATATGGGAATACGCTCGGAAAACAGCAGTACGGAAGCACTGAACACATGTATTGTCAAGCTGAAGCGAAACCTGTGCTCAGCTGGGATTTGGAAGCATAATATCACACTGATCTTGACGCTGTAATGCATGGTTTATCAATAGTTACAAATACAAAAGCCTGGCATTGCATTCGTTGTAACAAAACACCACAAATATCATCATATGACCAGTTTTAAGATCGTGAATGCACATTTTTCCAAGGAATAGCAGCTGGACTTGCTTTATCAGTGCCTGACCAAAGAACAAGACAGTCTTCGAAAACAACACTCAAGATCAGCGCCAAATCAATACAAAAACAAACCACTAAACAACAAATGGAACGCGCATATCAAATAAAACACATGTTTGGATGTACACACAAGCTTGACTCTCCTGTGCAGATTCTAGCTCGCATCGCCATCGAAAACAACAGGGCTAAATGCCAGTCTGCACCTGGTCAGCAGACGCCCAGCTGGGCCTGCGGCTGGACAGCAAACGCCAGCTGGGCCTGCACCTGGTCAGCAAACGCCAGCTGGGCCTGCCCCTGGTCAGCAGACGCCAGCTGGGCCTGCACCTGGTCAGCAGAGCCAGCTGGGCCTGCACCTGGTCAGCAGACGCCAGCTGGGCCTGCCCCTGGTCAGCAGACGCCAGCTGTGCCTGCGGCTGGTCAGCAAACGCCAGCTGGGCCTGCCTCTGGTCAGCAGACGCCAGCTGGGCCTGCACCTGGTCAGCAGACGCCAGCTGGGCCTGCCCCTGGTCAGCAGACGCCAGCTGGGCCTGCCTCTGGTCAGCAGACGCCAGCTGGGCCTGCCCCTGGTCAGCAGACGCCAGCTGTGCCTGCGGCTGGTCAGCAGACGCCAGCTGGGCCTGCCCCTGGTCAGCAGACGCCAGCTGTGCCTGCGGCTGGTCAGCAGACGCCAGCTGGGCCTGCCCCTGGTCAGCAGACGCCAGCTGGGCCTGCCCCTGGTCAGCAGACGCCAGCTGGGCCTGCCCCTGGTCAGCAGACGCCAGCTGGGCCTGCCCCTGGTCAGCAGACGCCAGCTGGGCCTGCCTCTGGTCAGCAGACGCCAGCTGGGCCTGCCTCTGGTCAGCAGACGCCAGCTGGGCCTGCACCTGGCCGGCATGCGAGCGTGGTCCGGCAGGCCACCACAGGTCGCCTTCAAGGCAGGTGACCAGGCACTATCACTATCATCACCGGCATCACAGCCCGGCCGGCCGAGTGCACAGATGGCACGAGCAGGAGCGCGGTGCGCATGCGCACCCCAGCCTGCACACCGCTCGCCGTCGAGGAACGATGACTGCCATACAGAAGCCGTCCATATAACACGTCTGCAAACAACTACGACGCTTAAAGCTTAAGCAAAGGGACGCTTCGAACGCACGTAAGAAAACCCATCCGAATGCCTTAACGCACATATCACAAGGGCGCAACCTAGCAGTAACACGGCGCCCAGTATGCCCGATCCATCGCTTGGACAGCTGGCCGTGGAGCCTCGGTCAGCCCGCCACGGGCCGGACGCACTTATTGATGGTGAGGCACGGGTCGTAGCAGCACTTGAGATGGTCGCCACACTGGTAGTCGTTGGCGCACGAGCGTGGCAGACCGCCGCGCGGCAGCGGACTGCACCCACTTAGGGGCATCGCCGGACACGCGCCCCGCCTGCCTGCCCATCAAGGTCAAGGTCAGACGGCGAAGTCAACAGCGCAAGGGCGCCGTCAGTTCAGAGGCTACGGCTGCTCGCTCATGTGTGCCGTGGCTGCGGTGAGGGGCAGGCAGATGACTGGCAGCGAGTCATGGCGGACAGCTGGACCACGAGCTGATGTGGGCTTCCGCGCCTCTGCCGGAGAGCTCCGGTACGCGGCGCCGGGCGGGGATAGAGAGAGGCGAAGCGTGCGGACCGAGCACGGAGCCTTCAACAATGGGAGGAGCCCGAGCACGGGCCTTCAATATTGGGAGGAGCCCGAACACGGGACATTCAATATTGGGAGGAGCCCGAACCTGGAGCCTTCAATACTGGGAGGAGCCCAAACACGTGGCCTTCAATATTGGGAGGGGCCCGAACACAGAGCCATCAATATTGGGAGGAGCCCAACCACGGGGCCTTCCATGTTAGGAGGAGCCCGAGCACGGGGCTTTCTATGTTCGGAGGAGCCCGAGCGCGGAACCTTCCATATAAGGAGGAGTCCGAGTAAGAAGTATTTCATATTTTGTCCGTCCCGGTGGCTCAGTTGGTTAGAGCGCCTGCCTTCCGATCCACCCACCCGTGGCGGGGTGGGTTCGAGTCGCTTTAGGGCGCTCGCTATTTGCCCTTGACAGGTTTGGCCTGCGGCCGGTGGCAGCGGTCGCGTTAAAGGTCAGTTGACGTCAGAGGGCAGGACGGACCGTGCCGAGCATTGCGGCACGTTAAGCTTTCGCCACCAAATTCTGCCGTTGACATGGGATTGCGCGATCGGATGGTAGGGGTCAGGGCTCACACAACAAGCACTGCTTAGCGTGAGCTCTGATCCCGGAAATCCATCCATTCAAAAGGTTCGGATCAAATCTTTTTAAAAAAAATATTGGAAGGAGCCCCAGCGCACCTCAACCCCTCCCAAGTGAACGGTCCGATCTTTGCATTTCTTGGGAATGATGCAAAAGGAATTGACCTTAAAGCCCATGGAAGTCCCACGCTTGTTACAATTCCAGACCTGTACATTTGTATTGTTTCAGGTTTGATGACTGCTGTGGCGGACACGGCATCGGTCAGCGCCGTTATCAGCGGGCGCCGTTATCAGCGCCGTTATCAGCGGGTACTTTCCGGTGTCTTCAACAGACAAGGGTGGGACATGTTCAGTATTACATCGACATAGCACTTATATTTAATGCAACATTTTCTGCAAAAAACGCCCGAAAGCTCTGATTAGAGTTTAAACACTTCGGCTGCTCCATCCTATTCAAATTGATTGAAAACTTCCACAATGTTGGTGTGAATACAAGGGGGATCAGACGAGCGCTGAGCTTGAGCGACTTGACCATGACGTCTGTGTCGATGACCACATGGACCGGCGCGAAGCACACTCAGCGGGAAAAGAGAACATCCCGCATGCGATGCAGGTGGGGCCATCTTGGGGCGCTAGCTGGTGCAGGCCGTACTCACTGGTGTAGAGCGTGCCGGTGCCGCTGGTGCGGTCCACGTAGTGGCTGGGCCGGTCCGACCGGCGGAACAGGAACAGCGTCATGTTGCGCGCGTTCACACCCTCGTGGGACTCGTACGCTGCGGCGCACAGGGCGAGCAAGGGTCAAGGTCAGCTCAAGGTCACGGGTTCGACGGAGAACAGGTCGAAGGTCACGGTGAGCTCGAGCGCTTGATGGGCTCGGATGGCGAGGCGTCAGCTGATATAGTCGAGGCTGTTACGTTGGTTACCTGCACCCAGACGCCAGCGGAGCACCGGCAGAGCTAGACTATTTCCGTGAAGCGGGCTTCATGGCCGAAGGAGCCTTATTTGACCTTGAACAGAGTGTCATGGCCGCGTACATGCTCCACCAATCCGGCTCCATTGTTTCGATGCAGCCATACGCCACATCAAGCCAAACGTTTCGGGGGCCCAAAGACCACATTTCCTTAACGACAGATATTTTTACTTCAATTGAGCGGCTTTTGTTGAGTTCTATGCCAGAAGTGCTGCATGTGATAGAACTGTTGCGTTGACGGATGCAGTTATTGCATGGTTCGCGATTACAGCTTGGAGCATTGGAGCACGAACATCAGCTCGTGGGGAACACTAGCATCTTGAGAAAGGAGGAATCTCGGACCGACCTTGGGGGTACACAGAGTGGACGACTTCTTGCGTCCTGGGCAGCTTCGGAGCGATGTTCTGTTTCTTCGCTGAAAGATACAGTTTGCTGGTGATCAAGGAGTGCAGCCAAAAGGAGATCACGCCTCAGAAAAAAGTCGAACGAAGGTGTTTAAGAAGATGACACACGGATAACGCAAAGAAATACCAATTAACGTAGTGAACAGAGATTGAATTGAACAAAGTGGGATGTCCACTGTCAGCTGCCAGGCCGGTCCGTTCATACAGATGCGTTAAGCACGGTTCGCGTTAGTTTCAAAGCTGTAAATGTTGCAAACAAGCCGTAATATTGCACACCACCAGCAACCGAGCACACGGAAGTACTTCTTAGGCCGTGTTTGTTTGTTGCCAAGCCAATCACACGCTCGTAATTCAGTTAAAAATGAAGCATCGACAGGTAACGTGGTTGCTTTGGAACATTGAAGGCCAAAGCAACAAAAAGGACGCTTTCATGCATTCGTGTGCCTTACTTATTTCTAAAAGCATGCAGCCCATGAGCAACTTAAATGTAATTGTTAGAGCATGCAATGCAAAACGCGTTTGTCCTTTCTTGTTTGAAAACGGCTGTTCCATTATATACACGTCGCGTTCGCTGCTGTTCCCAGAGTTTCTGTAAGCCCCGTGTATGCACCGCCGCACATGCTGTGTGTGTGCGTGTGTGTTCGGCCACCTCTGACATGAGACAGCGCCATGCCCGAAGCCGGCTGGTGGGCCCCCGGTACGACCAGTGGGCCCGGGCGGCTCCAGGCCCGCTGCCGCCACCAGCGGCCGACGTACTTGGCCTAGCGGTCTTGGCGTACCGGACCGGCGCACCGACTCGGCGGCCGTGAGAGCGTCGTTCGGGCTGCTGACGTCTGTTGGCCACCGCAGCCTGTCGGCTTCGCTGATAAACTGGCGCATTTGTGCGACGTTGCTGATTGGCTGCCACGTTTGGCCGACTCTGCCGAGTGCCAGGCGCGTTTTGGTGGCGTCGAGGACCGGCTGCCGCCTGTGAGCTTTGGTGCTTGGCTGCGTGCATGGCAGCGTGGCCCTTGTGTGGTACCACGCCCTGGTGGGGCCGGATGTCGTACTGCCAGCCGTCGAGGAGCACAAAGCCACGGCTGCCGGGCAGTCTCTGCTGCAGCTGTCCTGATCGCCGCCGTGACGTCACGGCCGTCTGTAGTCGGCGCGCTGATGACGTCAGTCAGCAGGCGGCGAGGGTTATTTGGACGTACGCAGCTGGTGACAACGGTGGGATATTTGCAGCATGATTAGCTATTATGGGCCTCATGGATGAAGTGGTTAAGCTGTGCGCTCTGAACACTAGAGGTGCAGGGTTTGATTCCCCGCGGTGTCCGTCTTCCCGGCCAAGGTGCACTGTCAGGCAGGCGACACTACATAGCCTGAGCAGCTGAGTGCGTCGTAAAGTTCCAATGACGACGACAATAATACGCTCATTTCCTAATAAATGTGCTCTAAAATACGGTAAGGACTAGACGGGTCTAGTCCCAGAAATGTATCCACTCAAACGGTTTGGATTTAATCTAAAAACGTCATCGTTTGATTACGTCATTGAACGTTCTTCTGACGTCAGAATCCCTGGCAGATTTGCCGTGTCAGAATTTCCACTGAAGGGACAAGCGGACTCGCTCGTAGCAATTCAGCTAGCTGCAAAATGGCTTTTTAACTTATGGGTGCAAAAGCACTGGCGAACCTTAAATGAGCGCATGTTGGTCCTTTCTCGTGGTATTCTTGTATATCTTTCCTCTTCTTATCGTGATAGCACGTCGTTTTACTCGCATTTATATTTTCGATTACGGCGCTAACCTCACGTTGATTCATTCCGAGTCTCGTGCCAGTCACGACTAGTGGAATTGCCCAAATGTTTGCCTTATATATGATAAAACGCGGGATTTCTCGCTTTATCTTGCATGCTTAACGCCCCGCTGACTCCGGGCAGGCTGCATGTGCCAGCCATGAGTGGGCCCAAGTGCCCCTGGTGGGGCCCCCGTGCGAGCGCCGAGTGCACAAATTCCGCACAGTGCAGCCACACCCCTTGTGCGGGCAAAGCCTGGGCCGTAGGATTCCCAGGTGTAAGCAGCCTTGCCCCACCGTCGTCCAGACTCCCACGTCCCATAGCCCTGAAAAGGCCATCACTGGCCGAAAGGCTCTGATCCAAATACCAACCAATCGTAATCGAGACTAGCATTCAACGCGTTAAGCTAAGTGAAAGCCAACTGCCCTTCGTTGATGTCACGGTTCGTGCTGACATAATTCCGTGCGAATAAGTCAGTGACTATGTTTTTCTTGAACTTGAACACAATATGGCCATTGATGGGGCGGCACTTGTGTGACGTTTCTATCACGTCATGCATCCCTGGGTGACTTCAAATTATACGGCGCGAAATAGTCTGCACAAGTTCACGTGCGCCTGACTGAGAAACAACAGGATTTAAAGCCTTACGCAATTCGACTTCAGGGAAATATCCTGAAAACGGCTATCCCAACTCAAGCCCCATACCAATTTGGAACAGCCTCATAATCGCACGTGTTCTGCAGTGCTACGTCTGTGTATGGTCTCCCGCGAACCCACATATCACATGGCCGACATTGGTTGTTATTGGCCTGTATGCGGTACGAAGGGTGGGTAGCTGTTGTAAGAGTAAGCAGAACGCAGACATTTCGACCGTACGCTCCCATCAGTGCCTTTTTGATAGCGCTGACGAGGATTCACAACCGAAAAGTCCGCTGCAGGTCCCTGCTATTTTAGAGCTACCTACTGCTATGCGGCATACTGGCCAAAAATAATATAGAAATAATTCCAGAAGGCCGTGCCTAATCATTTTGCGGACTGTGCAAGAGCTGAAGCAAACAGAAGAAGGTAAAAAATCAGTGATACACGTCTTTGTGTTTTCACGGACTACTTTCTCGCGTGCGACAAAATATACATTCTGATTTTGTTTATGTACATCAGCATTTAAGCCAGCATTCTTTCAAGTCTGTGCTGCGCTCACATGCGTATTCGCACACAGACATTGGCATATTGCGTCATGCGCGCACGAACAGCTGCATCACGTGCCACTTAGCTTCCAGTGTGGAAGAGGGCCAAACCATGCGTAGTTAAGTGCTTTGGCTTAATTCGCACAACTGACGGGCACCAGCGCCGTTCGACTGGCGGAACTGTCATTCCGCGAGTGAGCCTCAGTTGTTGAAATCAGTTTGTAAACATGCATCTGATTATTTTACTGATGTTCATTCCGTTTACAAGACCCGAGAGCACGACATCGCTCAGTCAGCGCCTGTCGAGGACGAGGCTGGTACCGTCAGTTGTGCGACTAAAACGCTCAGGACGTGGGAGAGGCAGGCGAGCAAGCTGCCGGGCGGCTCTTACCTGGACTGAAGACGGCACGGGCCTGAGCCGACGGTGAGAAGCGCCGCCTCTGCCCGCCAGAGGGTCGGGAGCCGACAGTCAGCTGTCGGTTCACGCCTCTCGATGACGTCACTCGGCCGCGTGATGACGTCACTCGGCCGGACGAGGATGGCCTTCCGCCGGATGACGTCACGAAGGGCTTAACGATGCGGCGTGAGGGTGGGTGGCCAGTGGAGCGCAGGTGCACTGTGTTCCCGCGTTCATCCACCACACGTGCCGCAAGCACCGATCGCGCCCCTCGAAGCTTGTTACCTGAAGAGTTGCTATGGTCGACGGAAACGTTGCGCCTTGGCCTGTCCTCTAGCGAGCTGGAGCGACGACTGAGGTTTGCGGCGTCGCCGCTTGGCAACCTCCATAGAGAGAGCAGACCTAGCACGATAAGGAGAAGCTTCATTCTGCTAACCGGCGACGTGTAGCGTAGCGGGTGCTGAAGCTGAAACGAGGGCAAAAGTTACCAAATAGTTCAATGCTCATTGACTCCACTGGAACCACCCGTCTGTCATGCAGCAAGTAAGAACTAGGAACGCCCAAGTGAGCAAAACAATGTTTCTGAGATGGTACATGGCACATGGTACACAACACTGTGCAAGATTAAGTTGGTTTCTAGGGTGTAAGATGTTTTTGCTCTCGACGGATGAATATCATGTATCTAAGTATTTTAAGTTTATTTTAATTCAGTTCAAAACAAGGTCTAGAAGCGGTTGTCCATGAGCATTGTCCATCGTATCTGCAGTCAGTAATAGGGTGCTGACTTAGCTCCCACAACGCTTCAAGTTACTTCACGTTACGGAAAACAATGTCCTAAATTACTGCCGACTATCATATATGATCTAGCGTCGGGATAACATCCGTAGCTAGATGTGGTCAGTGGGTAGGACAGCAACTTGCAAAAATAATGAGCTTGCAATGCCTTTGTGTAGTAATGATGGACGACTCGACCAGCTACGTATTGTGAAATAAAATATGAACTTGTGGAGAATTGTTTTGTATTATCTAACAGCAAAATAAAGTACAACTGCGCGCAGGCCAGGCTTCAGGGTCACTGCGCAGGCCAGACTTCAGAGCTGCTGCGCAGGCCAGACTTCAGAGCTGCTGCGCAGGCCAGACTTCAGAGCTGCTGCGCCGGCCAGACTTCAGGACCACTGCGCAGGCCAGACTTCAGAGCTGCTGCGCAGGCCAGACTTCAGAGCTGCTGCGCAGGCCAGACTTCAGGGCCACTGCGCAACCCAGACTTCAGGGGCACTGCGCAGGCCAGTTGTCAAGGCCGCTGCGCAGGCCAGTTGTCAGGGCCGCTGCGCAGGCTTGACTTCAGAGCTGCTGCGCAGGCCAGACTCCAGGGTTGCTGCGCAGGCCAGTTGTCAAGGCCGCTGCGCAGGCCAGTTGTCATTGCAGCCCGGGGCCGACCGTCGGTTCGCTGCCGACCCCCAGCTAGACAATGTCGACGCTAATCTACGGCCGTACAGAGGGACGATTCACCGCGAAGCTGCATCCACAAGCAGCTCTCGCGAGCAGCAAAGGTCGCGGGGAATCCCGCTACAGGACCAGCCTGACGGGCGCAGGACGAGGCCACTCGGCCGGCACGACACGGGACAGAGCTCAGAGCCGAGCGGTCTCAGGCGTGCAACGGGCGTCACCATCCCGCATGTTGGTTCCAGGGGCGAGGCGTCCTGCTGCGGAGCTTGCCGCGACCTGCCGTGACCCAGATGACCTCCCGTGACCCCGGAGCCCGCCTCTCCGGTCCCAGCCTGGCCAGTCTGCGATCCGGACCGTCTCCTGAGTCGGACCAGCGCGGCGCCGGCTCGGCACCCCGGCAGAGGTCAGCTGCGAAGAGCGCTGAACGCCCGGGGTCAAACAACTCACGACACGGTGACACGGGCTCATTCCAATACCGCGCCTGCAGTGCATTTACAAAAGGGACCCACAGCATACGCCATTCTGATATAGCGGCAGTGAGCTTTAATGCGCTTTTATACGGCGTCAAAACAAGCCGCCAGAATGCTTTATTCTAGTTTATGAGACTGGCGGTAGTGGGAGGTGCGGATCCGCGGACGGCGTCGGCGCCGAGCAGAGGGCGCCGCGGGCGGTCAGTGACCTGCACCGGCCGAGGCGCCCGGCTGCCGGCGGCCGTGATTAATTCCTTCAGCCGCCGCGCCGGACGCCGGCTACCGGCTGCTGCGGCTGACGCTGATCCCACTGACGGCGCGCCGGCGCGGAGGAGGCGCGCTCGCCCGTCCGTCGAGCACCCTGATCGGTTGCGACACGGCAGACGCGCCACGGCAGGCGCGTGCCGCCGCCTGGCGTGAAGATCCGGCCGCCGGCAACGGTATGTCTCCCTCTGCTCGCAGGCAGCTTCGCCTCAACGGTAGGGCTCGTGCACCCGGCTACGACATCGCTGAGGGAGAGGGGAGGGGAGCGGGCAAACGGTGGGGTCCGGGGACCCGGCTACCACATCGGTGAGGGGGAGAGGGAAGGGGAGACGCTGAAAGCAGTGCCCTCGGACCGGCTACGACATCGGTGACGAAGAGGGGAGGGGAGCGGGCAAACGGTGGGGTCCGGGGACCCGGCTACCACATCGGTGAGGAAGAGGGGAGGGGAGAGGGCTAACGGTGGGGTCCGGGGACCCGGCTACCACATCGGTGACGAAGAGGGGAGGGGAGAGGGCTAACGGTGGGGTCCGAGGACCCGGCTACCACATCGGTGAGGAAGAGGGGTAGGGGGCTGACGGCGGTGTCCTGGGACTCGGCTACGACATCGGTGAGGGAGAGGGGGAGGGAAGGGCTGGCTGCTCTGTGGTGCAGGATATGCTGCGGTGGAGATCTGCGACACCGCCTGTCAGACGACTGCACTGAGGAAACCAGGCAGATCCATGCTATCCCCAACCAGCTGCCGGCCACACCTAAGGTGTGGGAGAGACGCAACACTCTGCCCGGCCGTTTACATTAGTGCGGGCATCACGACGTCATTGACTCTTGACGCCAGCCCGGGACAGGGGGTCATATTGATGGCAGGGACCGTAGCTCTGATCGCGACGCCACGCCAGGGGCAGGGGATCATGGCCACTGTAGTATCTTACTCTCCTGACTAGCACTGGTTCAGCCCTGGATTCATGTCCCGCCCACAGACAGCAGCATGTGCAAGACTCTAGGGGAACTGTGACAATATATGATAATGTGATAAGGATGTGATAACTGTGATGCTAAATATGGCGTCGGAAGGTTGGGATGCATAATGTACTTGAGCTGGACCAAAACGTACTCTTCCGCACTAGATGTTTACACACCGTGTATTGTCCAGCCGAAGAAAACGCCGACCAGGTTAATTCCTTACATTTCTGAGCGTCAACACCAGAAAGAGAAGCCAACTGCTTCGCTTCTTCGTCTTTCGTCCAGTTACCCACGCCATGGGTAGATAAGGCACCCAGCCGATCCGTACCAGCGGTCCAGCAGTAGATAAGGCAGCCAGCCGAGCCGTACCAGCAGCCCAGCAGTAGATTAGGCAGGAGCGGAGCCGTACCAGCAGCTCAGCGCATGATAATCACTCATGACCAGTCCGGATGGTAATCGGTCATGATCAGTCCGACAACACTTCTCTACACCATGTGGTCGACAGGTACGACAGCTCTGACGGCTCTTTGTTAAATATATACAATGCAAATCTTTGGATATTTGACATCATAGCTTTGTTTGAACAATACCCATCCGCATTGCATAAACAATGTTCTGATCCTTGGGCCAGTTGAACGGCACATTCACACGAATAAATTAGTGATTTTTATTGTTATGATTATTTATTTTTATGTCATTATTATTTATAAATTACCTGTTTTTTGTGAAGGCGAAGTCCATCACCCGTCACTCATCCGATGGACCGGGGGCTCTACTGGCGGCGGTACAAACTCTGCCGCATGCCCCACTGCCACCGGTAGCTAGAGTCGCCCTTCGAGGCTGCTCTTCCGGTGACGTGCAGGGTCAGAGCACAGACCGCCGCAGGCGCAGGAGCACAGACCGCCGCAGGCGCAGGAGCACAGACCACCGCAGGCGCAGGAGCACTCCGTCTGAACACCCGGCCGCTGGTCATGACGGGGGCCCGGCAGCCGCGCCCACTCAGCGGCTCGCCGCCAGCTCGTGCTCGCCAGATCCGCCCCACAGGAATGCTCCGCACAGGAATACCGCCCGATTATTTTCGCACAACCCGGAACATCCCGTTTGCACTCCCAGCTGGCAAAGTAATCCGTTGTCCGATGTATTCCCCTCCCCTGCCTCCCTCGCTGTCCGTCCGGTCAGCCTAAGCTGAACGATTGCGACAGAGATCGATGACAGCGGCGCTCCTGATGAGACGCTGCCGGGCTCAGAGGGCCCGCCCAAGCACCTGTATGCGGAGATCGGCGGTGACTGCCATTCACTGCAGGAAGCCGGCCGTGCCGCCGAGCCGCAGCGCCAGCAGTGGCGGCTGCGACTCGACTGGGAGCAGGACAGCAGTGGCGGCCGCACCTCGGCTGGGAGCAGGACAGCGGTGACGGCTGCAGCTCGGCCGGGAGCGGGGCAGTAGTGACGGCCGCACCTCGGCCGGGAGCGGGGCAGCGGTGACGGCCGCACCTCGGCTGGGAGGAGGACAGTAGTGACGGCCGCACCTCGGCTGGGAGGAGGACAGTAGTGACGGCCGCAGCTCGGCCGGAAGCGGGGCAGCGGTGACGGCCGCACCTCAGCTGGGAGCAGGACAGTAGTGACGGCCGCACCTCGGTTGGGAGCAGGACAGTAGTGACGGCCGCACCTCGGCCGGGAGCAGGACAGTAGTGACGGCCGCAGCTCGGCCGGAAGCGGGGCAGCGGTGACGGCCGCACCTCAGCTGGGAGCAGGACAGTAGTGACGGCCGCACCTCGGCTGGGAGGAGGACAGTAGTGACGGCCGCACCTCGGTTGGGAGCAGGACAGTAGTGACGGCCGCA